TATGTATCTGTGTATACATATATGTATGCATGTCTGTAGGTATGTATTTATGCATGCATATATTCATGTATGTATGCATGACTGTATGCATGAATAATCATATGTATTCGCATATACACATGACGATGTATATATGTATATCTGTACATGCATATGTGTGTATTTATATGCCACTGTATATGCACATGCACATGTCTAGGTATGTGCGTTTTGTACATCTATAAGTATTTGTATACATGTACATGTTTATGCATGCGTAACTGTACGTATATGTGTATGTATATGCATATGTATATGTATATGTTTATGAGTACGTATGTGTGGATGTATGTAGGCATGTATGTATGTATGCAGCGATACATGCATGCACGTGCGTATGTATGTATGTATATATGTATGTATGTCTGTATGCATGTTAGCATGTCTGCATGCATGCCTGAATTAGTTATCTACATATATACATATGTATGTATGTATGACTGCATGCATGCATGCATGCATGTATGTATGTATGTGTGTATGTATACATGTATGTGTGTATGTATGTATGTATGCATGTATGTATGTATGTATATATGTATACATACATACATGCATGCATGTATGCATGCATACGCACATGCATGTATGTATACACGCACACACACATATATATATATATATATACACGTACATATGCATGTATGTATGTATGCATGCATGTATGTATGTATGCATGCGTGCATGCATGTATGCATGTATGTATGTTTGTATGGATGTATGTATATGTGTATGTGTGTATGTGTGTATGTCTGTATGTGTGTATGTGTGAATATGTGTATATATAGTGGCCTCCGGCCAGTGCCGCCGATCCGGGGTGCTACCGATTCTGCTTGCAACGGATGGCCTTTTATGTTGAAAATTAGAGCACTCGAATGGCGTCAGCCATGGCGTCAGCACTCGAATGGCGTCAGTCCCCCGACTGAGCAAAGCTTGAGCGAGTGCTCCTTTCTTTTCTCTTTTCCTTCCCTTCTGTGTGTCTGTTTGGATCTCTGTTTGTAGTCTTCTTTCTCTCTAACTCTTTCTCGGCCCCCCCCCTCCCCCCTCCCGGGTCTGAATGGCGTCAGCCATAGCGTCAGCCCCTCCTCCCCCCCTCCCACCTCCTGTGCCTGAATGGCGTCAGCCATGGCGTCAGCCCCCTCTCCCCCCCGACAGAGCGAAGCTTGAGCTCTCCTCCCCCCCCCCTCCGTCCCCGGGCCTGATGGCGTCAGCCATGGCAATCAGCCTCCCCTGTCGCGCCGCCCCAGTCCCCGAGCCCCCCACGCCCCCGCAGTCGCCCCTCCCCCACACGCCCCGCCCCCCCCCCGACTCCCTCCTCCCGGGCCTGAATGGCGTCAGCCATGGCGTCCCCGCCCCCCCCCTCCTCCCTCCCGGGCCTGAATGGCGTCAGCTATGGCGTCAGCCCCACCCCCCCGACTCCCTCCTCCCGGGCCTGAAAAAAAACAATGCGTCAGCCATGGCCCCCCCCCCCCTCCCCTCCCTCCCAGGCCTGAATGGGCGTCAGCTATGGCGTCAGCCCCCCCCCCGCCCCCCGACAGAGCGAAGCTTGAGCGAGCTCAAGCCCACGCTCTCAGAAACTCACACGCCGGATCGGCGGATCGGCGGATCGCAGGCGGACGCACTCCGAGCCAAAGATCGCGAGCATCGGCGGCTTGCCCAACAGTCCAGGTACTCTGATCACCTCGCAGTGCTGCCGGTACTGCACACAACGTAGCCATATGTGCTACTCGACACTTCGTCCGTGCAATTTTGCACAGGTATGTTGCACGACGTGTGTCATGTATTTTATCCCAGCTTGAGACTACCATGCCTAGCATAATACTATGTGTATAAACGTATATATGTATGCATACATGCATGCATGCATGCATGCATGTATGTATGTATGTATATATGTATGTGGACATGCATGTATGTATGTATGTATGTATGTATGCATGTATATATGTATGTATACATGCATGCATGCATGTATGTATGTATGTATGTCTGTGTGTGCCTGTATGTAGGTACGTATGTATGTATGTATGTGTTTATGTATGTATGTATGTATGTATGTAGGTATGCATGTATGTGTATATATGTATGTATGCATATATGTAAGTAGTTAACTATGTATGGATGTATGCATGTATGTATGTATGCATGCATGCATGTATGCAATTATGTATGTATGTATGTATGTAGGTAGGTAGGTAGGTCGGTAGATCAATAGGTAGGTATGTAGGTCGATCTGTATGTATGTAGATAGGTATGCATGTATGTATGCATGTATGTATGTATGTATATATGCATGCATGCATGCATGCATGCATGTATGTATGTAAGCATGTATGTATGCATGTAGGTAGGTAGGTAGGTATATATGTAATGTATGTATGTACGTATGTATGTATGTACTTATGTATGTATTTATGGATGTATGTATGCATGCATGCATGCATGCATGCATGTATGTATGTATGTATGTATGTATGTATGCATGTATGTACGTATGTATGTGTGTGTATGTA